CATACAAATTAAATAAATTTGTATATATAGATGATAAATAAATTTATTATATATTTTTTTATTTATTACTGTCTTTCAATTTTTTTCTTTAAATTTAAGAAATATTAATACGTTTAATTTGATATACGTAAACTTAATTTAACCCATTTAATTAAACCCACTAAAGAGTTGTCATGTTTTTCTTCATCTCATTTTTCTAAAGTTTTTCTTTGTTCACGAGGGAAATTGCGTTGCCTATTTCATAGTATCCCAACAAAACATGAACTCGCTCATTAACTGTTCGTCGGTCCTGTAATTAGTCACGTTCTTTCAAAGGCGATAATCGATCTTCTTTTTTTTCACACTGTTTGGAGTTAGCATGACCCCACTTTTGGAGTTAGCATTACTTGTCACCGTGAATTATACCATCGAACGACACTCGGGAATTTAACGTCAGAAATCCTGTCTGCCCAGAATGTTTTGCGAAACTTATAATACAGTAATTCCATATTATTAGTCTCACGAGATGAGTAAACTTACCTCCGTAATCCTCGTTAAAAGAAGCGCCATTGACGCTTATTAAATACATATTTCTTTCGTGGACTTTAGTTTTTTATATCAAAGACGATAAAATATTTATTTTTATAGCAAAATATAGATGCAAAAGGATGGCCTTTTCGTAGCAACAGTAAAAAAATATTACGTAAAAATATATCGCGTAATAAAATATTAGATTTCTCAACGGAATGGTAAAATACAATTATTAATTATTAATTAATTTAATTGTTTATTTTATAAATAAAGATTTATTAATATCAATCCATATGGTGTGAAAACACAAAATATTATATAAGAGAAATAAAAGATTTCTTCTTTTAACAGAAAAATTCGTTTTTATATATCATAATATATCTTTAGGTGTATGTCGTGTTTTTAGGTCAGAAAGGCGAACAGAGACTTGCAGCAGCTGTCACGTCACCAGCGTCGCGAGATCGGCCTGGCGACGATGTTGCTGTGCGTGGTGGTCGTGTTCCTGATCTGCAACATCCTGCCGATGGTCTCGAACGCGCACGAGACCTTCATCGCGGATCCGCCGCAGTGGATGGTGCAGATCGGCAATCTACTGGTGACCATCAACAGCAGCATCAACTTCATCATCTACGTGATCTTCGGTCGGAAGTTCAAGAGGATATTTCTTAAGCTCTTTTGCTCGTCCAGACTGTTCGTGCCCGGCCGGGACAGTCCGGAGTTCCAGACGTACGACGAGTCGATCGTCACCAACACGACGAACATCGAATTAAGAAATTCGATCAGGCATGGCCACTTAAATCGCGCCAACACCATCAGTTCGAACAACAACGTACACATGTCCAACGGCATCAGGCAGAGTCTAAAGAGCGGCAGACCTGCCAGTCCCGGTTCCTGCGTCTATTACCCAGGCAAGAATCCAGCAAGAAGTCCCAGTCTGATGTCGAGAATGTCGAACGGTCGCAATAGCTGGAAGAATAGGAGAGAGAATGGCGATTCCACGCTATAATGAGCAGCGACTATACTGTTCTTCGCGCTAATTATGCAGTTAGAAGTCTGTGCTGAGTGTATTAGTCAAGATATTCTATTGATTGGCAGGTTGAAAAAGAAGGTGAAATGGCAATTCCAATGCTAATGAACAACAAATGTCAGTCTTTTTATATCTGTCATCTTGTCAGACGTCAATTGTGTATCTCAATTGAGGTCAATCAGAATTGATGAGGCAAGAAGAAGAATAATGGCTCTATATTGTAACTTATGATACATAATTATTAGTCGTGTTTTTCCATTTATTTGATTTGATGATTTGATGATCCAGTTGACAGCATCATTTTAATATGGAGGACATCAAAATGGACCACTCCGATGTAAAGAGTAATAAATATTATTACATGACACTTTTCTGTATTATTTAAGACATCGTTAGACATAGTTGAAATTGAAGCAAGAATACATTCGGAAGAGATAGAATGAGCAATAGGTTGATCAGTTTATGCCATAATAGACCAATATGGATTTATTTTTTACCTTTATTCGATCAAGAATCTTATTAGAAATTTTAGCCGAATATGAAGACAATCCACAAATCGCAAGAAAGACTGCGAAAAAGACCAGCGAATAACGCAGCGAACAACCATATATTAATGCTTTTCACATATAATTCTCGTAGCTATCTTAGTAGTTTCAAGGAAATGTCCAGAACGGCTCTATCTGGAGAGGCTAAAATAAGATGATTCAGCGCTGCAGTGGACAATCGATATTATTGTACCCTTGGGAAGCGGCTTGGATCAATCCTTACGTCTGGATACTGTAATCCCACGGGACGGCACGACTTCGATATAAAGGAAAACGATCGTTAAGGATAACAGTTCTCGCATTTCCTGCCACGAAAGAGCTCAGAAAGCCACGTCTCTTGCAACGATGACCTTTCAAGTGATTCGTTGAAAGTTCCGTCTTGCTTTGAAATAATCTAGTCGGACGTTAAAGAAAAAGAAAACTGATTACTACAAGTCCTAGCGCAACTGTTTTAAATACTTTAAACAGTCGCTAATCTCTCGTAGTGCTCCTAGTCATCTCCAAACATGAGTTTTCTCATTATCAAAAATCACACACACACACACACACACACACACACACACACACACACACACATATATATATATATATATATATATATATATATAGTAAAATCAGTTCTTAGATTAATGTTCTTAGATTATATATATAAATTGATAGATTAAGAGCAGAAAGTTTTCTTTTATCGTGATATAAAAAATTAATATTGAGTATATCATCATCGATCTTGAATCTTGTAAGTTTTGTCGTAAAAGAAACAATGTAGTAATCAAAAATATAAAAAAAGAATGCAAATTATAAACCTAAATTTGATTAGAATAATACATTTGAGAAATTTAAAAGATTTTCTTTTCAGAAATCGGGAAATTATTCTTCACTACAGATTCTTATTTTTAAACATTAAATGTCTTGATGATTAAAAAATTGAATATTTTTAGATGAAAAAAGAATGCGTTTATATAAATATATGTAACCGTGTTTATAGAATAGAAACAAAGAGAGAACTTATCACGGGAGAAAATCTTCATCAAAAATTTTATTAAAGTTCAACAATGTTAAAATGTTATTTTATCATAATTATGATGCAAAGAGAGCAAAGAAAAGAAATATGAACAATTTGTTTGTTTTAAAATGTAATATATAAATGAATTGCTTTTGATAAGAATTTGAAGCAGTCTGACACTATATTTTCTTAATTTCTTTAAATTTCTATTTTATGCTTTCTGGCTTATGTAAACAAGATCTATTTCTGAAAAAAAGCGAAAATAAAATCCAGTAAAAATTGTAAAGCAAAATTTCCAGAATTTATTCACGACGAAAAACTTTTTAATGCTTAATTCTACTAACATAGATTTACTTTAATCTCGGTTCTAATTCTTAGAACTAGAAATTTTTTCTTAGAAAAAGATAAAGATAAGTTGAACCGAGATTAAAATTAATCTATGTTGGTGGAACCGGGCATAATTCAGAAAAAGTTTTTAATCTTTAATTTAATACCTTTTAAAATAATATTTTAACATTGTTGATATACCTTTATATTTAAAGGTATATTTAAAGCATCTTTTCAATTTTACACAAAAATCCAAAATTTAGACGAATACAATAAAAAATTTTGTAGTAAGTAAGCTAAGCCAACAAAAAGCTTTCGAGACTGGAAGTTAAGCTTCACTAGAGAAGCGCTATACAAAAGCAAAGTTAAAAAGTAATCCGCTAACTTAGTCTTCTCAGGTTTCACGAACCTTCCGATGTCAGTCACGTATCTAGCTCTCCGGTGAAAATAAATCGAATTTCGAAAGTCGGAAGCACAGAACCCAATAGTGTGACATTCCCCTAGAGAGGACTTTTGTCCTGACTGTAGAGAATCCTGTGTCTTACACTTCTGAACTATTGTTCTTCGAAACTTGCATATTGATCAATCTCAAACGACATTCGTGTATTGACAAAGAAAGATTTGCTATTCTCGTAATCGATTGCAAGATTTAAAAAAATCGTTTGTTTCCAGTGTCATATTAAAGGGAAAAAATCGATTAAAAAAATATTTTTTATAATTTCATAATTTTCAAGAAATTACAAGAAATTAAAAAATTGAAATAATTTAGATACATTGTCAAAAATAAGAATAATTTAAAAATAATATGATATAAATTCAATTTTTCATATTTTTCCGTAAACATGCAGTTATTTATTTTTTTAAATTTATTTTCACAAACTGAAAAATCGACGAAAGAGATATAGTGTATATATATTTTTATTCGTGTGTATAGAAAAAGAACAATATTAAGAAAAAAATAAATGTACTGAAAGTTGTCAGGAAAAAATGTAGACTATAGCAAAACCAAAGAAATATACTACTATTATTAAAATTAACTAGTTAACTATTAAAACTCAAAAAATATAGATGTCAGCCTTCTAAATTTTAAGAATAATGTGCAATATATTTGCACTGAAAAAATAACGTTCGTCACATAAGCGCCGCGCGAGCAAATATATTTTAAAAATAGATTATTGAAAATTTAGACATTAATATATTAATATAAAAATTTGATATAAGAATGTATATATATATATATTGTAGATATATTCCTATTTACATGCACACACAGATTTACCAAATAATACCTATATCAATTTTAAATATAAACTCTCTTTTCCCTTGTTGCAAAAATTATTTTACAGCTTACTGCTCTTTTTTCGATTAAAGAATATCAATAATGTTATAAATGTTATTTAATGATAAATTGTCCAATTCGTAATTTAATTATTGGATAACTATATATAAAATAAGATATTGGATAAGATACTGTAAGTTGGAATTTATCTTAATAATTTCTGAACATATTCTTGCTAAAAGGAGAAGAAAAAAATTAGATTTAAGTAAAGAGGGAAACAAAACGCTCTCGTAATTATACGACAAGAGATTCATCATTCTAGTCACAGAATTTCTATCAAGCCTATTATAGATATGTATACTCAATATAAATATATATATATATATATTTAAAATATACAATGACGATCTGTACATATGCTATGCGAATCCATCTTGTTGTTTTATCATATCCTACCGCTGTCTCGACATGCTTGTAAATACAACATAGGAATCAAGTAGTAATGAACAACTGGGAAAAAGAGCACTAATTTCACACTATTTTCAGCACTAATTTACCTATTTTTAATTAAAGATAAAAGACACTACATACAATTTATTCCACATTTTTGATTCTCAAATAAAAATTTGAATATAAAATTACTAAAATTCTTGTTTTGTTCTTTATATATTTAATAATATTTGATAAAATAAATGGAAACTGAGATAAACTATTTATAAATTCCAAACAAATTTTTCAATGCAAATAATCATAACTCTCAAATTAGGCTTTTACTTCAGCCAGTTTTATTCCATCGCTGCCAAAACATATTATACAAATTTCTTTTTACGCTTTTTAGCTGTTTAGTAGCTCTCTTTATAGTCTAATGTAGCTAGAAACATTTCATTACTTTCATATATTCGTGTAAACATGATTTTCTTCCACCAGTCAAATGTGCTTTAATTTAATTTTATTGTACATAAAATAAATTCACACAATCAATGAATGAATTACAATTACTCAATCCCTTGTAACAAAATGTCAATCAAATGTTAACTAAGGTTCTAATATAAAAAAGATTTTTACAAAGTCTATGGTTATATTGTCATCAATTAACTCTATCTGCATTCTTTTAAAATATTAAATAAAACATAAGAAATTAATATTAAATCAATTTTTACATTTTTAACATCTGTATAAGAAACTGTATAAGAATAGAATGACATATGACACATATTTTGTTTGTACAATAAAAATTAAATATATTCTGTTTATTCATCATTTCAGTAGTCTGTTTTTCTTTAATATTCTTATAATTATAATTTACATTATAGTGGAGCGAGCAGCAAATGTAAATCTGCTTTCTCGATAAAATGTGACTATTTAAACGTTTTATATTACATTTTTAGTGAACAGTTATTTACGATCACTATTAATTGCAAATTAATTGAAACAAGCAACGAATAAGATAAATTTACAAAAGAATTATTCGACTACATTTATTTGAAGAATATTAAGATACGGCATGTATCATTACATAATGCGACTGCGATCCCATTCACAAGTTACGTCTTTTTGCTCTTCGATTTCAAATAGAAGTATAAGGAGAGCAGTCCTATACCGACGTACGTCGCTTTCGTTACCTATAAAAATAAAGTGAATGTTTAAAAATCCATTAAAAAGAAAACAGAGAAACTCGAAAAGCTTCGCACAAACGTCGACAATTTTAAGGTTAAGTCACTCACGTTCGCCCGACCGTACATGGTTTGGCTGTTGAAATGTTTCGCCAAACCCGTGAGTTTCTCCTCGCCCTCAGCCATTTTTTATCACAATAAAAAAATTCAATTTCAATTGCCAAAGTTATAGAATAACGGCGGGATGTCGTCGAATCGCGAACCCGCTGTGCCTCGATCGAGATCGCCTGCTGGATGCCATATTGAAATATCGAAATTGGATGGCGAGATATCTCGAACTTGAAAAAAATTACAAAAACTCGCCAAAAATCACATTTGCAAAAAATTAATGATCTGCTAATTTAATAATAATTTTGTTCAGTAAGAGAGTAACTTATCCTCTAGGTAAATATAAAATTATATGATTTAATGCAACTTCTGTTATTTTTTTTTGTGACAATGATGTATATCTCTCTCTCACTCTCCCTCTCATATTTGTCTCATATTACAATTTTGATAATAATTTAGATATCATATTCTGATACCATTCATAATTATCCACTTTTTCTAATTTAATATAATATTAGATAAAATTTTATATTTAAATAAATGATTCTATTTTTAATTAAATATAATCTATTTTTAATTATGTACTGATTACTGAGAAGCAGAAGATGAGTTTTCGATATTTTCTACAAATCTATTGATTGCTAATATTTGGTTTATTAAAAAACATAAATCTATTTTCATAAGTCTATTTTCATGTATTTATAAGAATTTTATTTATAAGAATTTATCACATTAATCGGGTAGCTACAATCATAGAATTAAGTTCTGTGCACAATAAAGGAAATATTAGGAATAGGAATAAACATTAAATTTTGGAAATAAAAATTTGGAATAAAAAGATAAGATGTAACACAACGGAGACAAGTAAGTAAAATAGCTATATCTTGTATATTTACTTGTATTTTGTGCATTTAATCTTTATTCCGAATTTTCATTTCCAAAATTTAATATTTTTTCCTACTCGTAATATTTCTTCTATGCATAGGGCCTTTGCATGGCAATCATGATATTACTCATGCAAGGAATGCAAGACGTTGCAGAATTTGACCCAATTAAGACCATACATGGTCGACTGTTAGGACAGAAGT